GTCGACCGAAAACTGACATATGAAAATCTGATTTGCTGATTTTAAAATGCTGTTTAAAAATATCAAATAAATTCCAAAAAATGTAAAACTTTGGGGAATGATTGTAGACATGATAATAAACATGCTACAGTGACTGGTTATCAGAAAGCACCTCCCAAATGAAAAATATCATCATTTTACAAAATAGTCCAAAATATGAGATACTTGAATTTTGATGTTTTGACATAAACCAACTTTTAAAACTTTGTGAAATATTTTTATAGACTTAGTAAAACATGTATAAACTGATATTGAAGTCTACAAACTAAGTATACAATATTTTCACAAATACAATAGAAAATAAAACCTATGAGTATGTATATGAAAATATATTTGTTTCATATCTATGTAGATAAACCAAATCACAATAATAAATATGAAACATGTAATTTCATATTTATAAACATAAAAACCAAAACTTGTGTTGTATATATATGTGATTACATATATATACAAGGAAACTAATAAAATGTGTGTGTATAGATAATTGTGCTTAGAGTACTTAACACACATAATATAAAGCTATACTAAATTACCCAACCTTGATCTTGATCTTCATTGTAGCTCAACTTGGTAATCTCTCGGATGAAGCTTTAACTTGGATCTTAAACTTTGAATAGCAAGGCTTCACCGACATTCCGCCAACCTCCATTGGATATTATCGTTGAAGTTCTATTCCATCCATCCTCCAACAACGTTGTTTGTCTACAAAACATAGGAATGCACAAACACTAGACAAACAATATTAGTAATAAATTGTTTGTTAAACATCATCAAAACAAGAAGGCCAACAAAAGGCAGGGGACTATAAAAGGAGGAAGGGAGGGAAAGAAAAGGGGGACGAAACTCTTAACTCAGGGGAGACTTCTGAACCTCTTTTAAAACTCTGAACAATTCTAAAAAGCCATGTCTTCTCCTGCAAACTAGTAAGAGTAATGAATTCTAGGACCTTAATGATCCTCGGATCTTCCCTCAAACCCCACTCAAGCTCATCAGCTGACTTGACCGTCGGAGGTACCATGGGAGAACCGGTTCCCGCCCTCTTACGGGTTTCTTCTTCTTGTTTGCGTAGAAAGATCAGGAATTCCAGTCCAAGGATCGGGCATAAAGTCGGAGGAGGAGTCAGCCCCGTCTCACATCCTCTCCTACTTCGCCGTCAGCGTGAAGATCAGGACTGCCACCCACGGCGAAAACCCCCCATCGACTGTGTGTTCACGGACATCAACAAATATAATATAATTCGAATGAATAGCGGATCGAGTTTAAGAATCAAAAGGGTCCTTATTTCAAATGATTTAGTTAGACTTTTTCACATACTAGTCTTTCTTAAATTTATCGTCGGCTCATAAATTTTCATGTTTCTAATTACACGCGAAATATATCAAGTTACTTCAAATGAGACTTTTGAAGTTACATATCTGTGTCTTAGTAGATACTAAATTCTTTGTATGGGACATTGAATCTTTAAATTTTGAAGGCTAAATGTCACTTAAATACCCTATTGTTTCATCATCTTTGCACTTAAATATACTAAATTATAAAAATAGTACTTTTAACATCCTAAATTGTAAAAAGATGACACTTTAGTACCCTACGTTGAAAAAAAGATAATAGTACCTTCTATTAGTTGTAGGTTGGAATATTCCAATGTGATTAGCACATGACATTTTTGTCTTTGTATTGACCATATTTATTATCATATTTACCACTATACTTACCCTCCATCATTTTATTAAATTTTTATGGAGGGATGTTTTTGTTTTAACGAGTTTTTTAACGATGGTTACCTTATTATAATGGTAGACAACATAGATTATTCATGTGCTGCTTTTTATAAATTAGATTTTTAAGTGTAAAGGTGGTGAAACAATAGAATATTTAAGTGTCATTTAACCAATTTCTAAAGAACACTTTCAAATCTATTAACTCTATAAGCGTTTAACCATAATGGTAACGATAAATTTGGGAGTCTTAAATTAGAAGCTTGAAGATTTGAGGGTTTGGTATAAAATTTTAAACCGTTAGGGTCTAATACGATAAAGAAGTGAGTACGGCCTTCACCGGACGGCGGGAAATCCCAAATAAAAAGCGGTTCTCGAGGAGGCAGTTGGGGGTTCCGTCGCTTATCACCATGAAATTATTTCTTGATTCTCTTGAATGCGTTATTCTCACTCTCTTTTTTCTTATTGCACCGCTTCATAGTCGCAGTGAAGTAAAAGAGTAATTTTTCATGTTGGCCCCTATAATTGCTATAATTGTGTGGATTTATCAATCCCGTGTTATTTCTTATGGTTAATTACACAAAACCCCCAGTGAATTTTGGGCGGTGGTGTACATAACTCTCCTAAAGTTTATTTATCTAACTTAACCCCCCAAACTATGACATGCCTCATAAAACCCTTCTAAACTTTAGCTTATCTCACATAACCCCTTACTTATAATTTGCATTTAACTAATTTTGAGGGAAAATTCTCAAACTTAATCACCTGTTATTCACATGGAACATATTTATACCTCTAAAGTTTGAGTTTTTTCCTCTCAAGATAATGTTATTTATTTGCAAATTACATACGGGGGGTTAGGTCAGATAAGCTAAACGTCAGGGGGATTTTGTGAGATACTATATAGTTTTTTTGGGGGGTGGGGGTGTATGTGAGATAGAATTTAGGGGGTTTTACCGGGTTATATGTAAAACCCGCCAACGTTCAGGGGTGGAGGGCGGTGTGTTGTGAATTTGACCCTATTTGTAATGTTGCACGTGAGTAAACGTGGAGATAAATAGGGTCATAGTTTGTAGATTTTTTTAGTCTTAGTGGATAAATAATAAATAATTTTCATTAAACATAAAAATAAAGCAAGACGATGAAGGTAAGCCAGCTAAATTTCATACAACAAATGAAATCTTAGATGATTTTTTTTCTTACGGACAGTTTTAGTATTATTTGTTAAGGTAATTTTCTTAGTAAAGGTCAAAAAATAAAATTAATCCTGAATACTTGCAAATTGATTTTAAATTGTATATGTAAATATTGATGATGAAAAATATTTAAATAATTATATTTTAGTACTACTTAATTAGGAGAGTTTTATAAAGATTCTTGTGAATTTTGATGCACGCTGTGTTTGAAGGATTTTTCTTTTTTTTGAAAATTAACATTTCTATACAAATTAGTTTGCATTATATAATAAATATATAATAATCAACATACAAATGATGCGCTTCTGCATGGTTTTCCAATAAAGATATAGCAAGAAAGGATATACTTTCTCAAGAATGTTGACAACCTCCATTCTCCTTTCTTAAAAAGAAACATTATTATTCCTGTTGAGATTGCGTCTTTTATTCTTTATATAACTTCATGAGAATTAGATAGAGTTAGAGATTTATCATAATTAGGAGATTGAGTCTCATCATGATTAAGAGTTTGAATCCTATTCTAATTAGGAAGTTTGACTAGGGGTAGAGTTTTGGTTTCCATATATATATATATATCATTCTATTGTTGGAGGAAAAACTAAGAGCATCTCCAACAGCTTCTCCAAAATTTTCTCCAAAATAGGGAAGCAAAAGTCATAATCTTCAAATTATTTTTACACCAACTCCAACAGCTTTCCCATTTTTGAAGAATCATTTTTTTCCTCCAAAAAATTTGGAGAATGCTGCAGATTTGGGGAAGCTTCTCCATTTTTTCTCCTTCATCCCTATTTTAAGGAATGAGATGGGGAATCTGTTGGACCAAAAATCTAACTAAATTATTCAAAAGTGGGAAATGGGGAAGCTGTTGGAGATGCTCTAAGGAGAAGGGAGAGAACCGATATTCTTGTAATGTAGGGTTAGCAGAGGGCGTAGCCTGATTTAAGAATATTGTGCAAGAGGCGAGGATTTCGTAGACTTTGTCCGTGCAAAAGATTAAAACATTAGGAGATGGTTTCGCTGTATTTGTCCGTTCAAAAGATTGTAAGGAGTGGGTTAGAGAGAATATGTAGGCGCATGACATCAGACACTCATCTTTGTCATGATTTATTTTTTGCTTATATCTGTTGACTCTGTATCCAAGATGACTCGACTTTCATATCCACAACAGTAAATTAAGTTGAGTATGGACAAGCGAAGTGCAAGCATAATTCAAAAATCCATATTTCTGTATAAGTTGAAACTTTTGAGTTTTGATTATTTATCATCGCAATTAGAAATATCATCATTATACTTCAATTTGCGGTACAAATCACTCATCATTAGTAGGACTAGTCTGAAATTAGGTTAGTGGAGAAGACGAAGTCAGAGCAAATTTTAACTTTGGATTTGACCATTTGTTTGAGGGCTCCATTATTTCATTTCTCTATCACACCACAAGGGGATTAAAACCCTAAAGAAGGATTTTGTTCCAAATCCAAATCTAGTAGTTGCAGCAGTCATAAATCCTTTTTTGGTAGGCAACAGTCATACATCTTTAAATATAATTCAAATGTAAAAAATAAAATAATTGAGGTAAAATGATTAGTTTTTTCTTTAATTTTATTCAGTTTCCAGATTTACCAATTGTGCAATATCTAAAACCGACGTAGGTCGTCAACATGGAAAATCCCTTGTGAAAAAAAGAAAAAAAGAAAAAAAGAAGAAGAAATTGTCACGTCTTTTCAATGGGGGCTGTTTCTACAATTACTTTCAATAGAGGAGGTTTCCCAAAAAATTCCATCATTACTAACGTCTTATGTTTTCTAAAATTTTACATCTTATTTTTTCTCATTATTATTATTATATTCCATAATTCCATAATTAAAAACCCATCAGCAGACCTATTTAGTGTTTCTTCCTCTCCTCTCATTCTCCTTTCTCTTTATTCTTCTCTTCAACCCATCAGCAGACCTATTTAGTGTTTCTTCCTCTCCTCTCATTCTCCTTTCTCTTTATTCTTCTCTTCTTTGTCTCTCCCCTAAAATATTCTCGATCTTCCTCTCCTCTCATTCTCCTTTCTCTTTATTCTTCTCTTCTTTGTCTCTCCCCTAAAATATTCTCGGATCAAGGTCGAAACTTTTTATTCCAAAAAAGGGAGAAATCAAGAAAAAGTTAGATTTTTATCGAAGAAGGTAGAAGATATGGTGGAAACTAGGCGGAGCTCAGCTTCTTCTTCCAGCAACAAGCGCCTCTCTTCATCTCCCCCCCCTTCTTCCCCCAGGAACCCTAAGCGCTCCAAGGTCCGATCGTTTCCCCTTCTTTGGATTCGATTGATTTTTGAGATCCTGTTGAAAGTTTTGATTGATTTGTTCAGGCGGCGGCGACAGCGGCGACGGGGGCGGCGGTGCCGGAGGAAGAGTCGTCTGTGCCTGTTGATTCACCAAATCTTGCGGCCGACCCTGCGGCGGTGGATCCCCAAAAAGAGGCCGGCGATGTGGGGTCCTCGGAGAAGAAGGCAGACGGAGAACTGGCGGAGTTTCCTTCTCAAGGTCTGATCTTTTGGCCTCTTCTTGAGTTATTGGAATTTCTTGAGTAATTTATCGTGAACTTCTCTGTGGTGTTACCGTTGAATGATGCAGATCAGTATTTAAAACAGCTGGTGTTACCGATGAATCGACGGAATTTGCAGCAGAAGAGGCCGGTGAAGTCGCAGGCTGATGTAGGAATTCCATGGGCCAGGCTTCTTTCACAGTCTTCTGAGGTTGGCTATTTCATTTTCTGAAAGATTTGATCAACTTAGTTTTGCTCTGCATGCCTGTTTTTTGTTTCTTTTAGCTTTAGGTAACTCTATTATTGTATGACATGCAAGAATTGTGACTTCTTGATGAAGAGTTAGGTTGAGTGGTATTACTCAGAACCATCACTCTCATTATTATTTAGGTTTTCAATGAAGACAAAATAGGCTCTTGTTTACGGCCTTACGTTTGCTCTCTGTTTGTAAAAGGGAGAACATTTTGATTTTATGTCAGTAATAGAACTGTTTGTTACTTCATGTATGTAGAATCATGTGAAGTCGATGACTTTGCCACCATTTGTGTACTATCATATTCCCTTTAGCATTTTTAGTGACGTAAAGTGTGGCTCGATCTCCCTACCCGCGTCCACATCCGAGATCCTTTCCTCGGCTGATCTTATGACTAGGTGTTCGCAATAATTCGGCAAGCTCCCATTAAGTCTATATGCTGGAATTTTTTAATACTTGGTCCTATTATTGCCCATTGCGCTGGCATCGTGGCAAAGTCCGGTACATTTGGATCCTATCATTGCCATACCACCATCACTGCTTGTTTCTGCTAAAGGATGAAATTTCTTTGAGTTCACAGCTAATTTATTACACGCAAACGTCTTTTTATCTTCAAATAGTTTGCTTCAATTTGTGCTGAATATTGTACATATTTTCAGGCGAAATAGTGTGTGGGTAGGAATCACCTTGGGACACATCTAATTACTGTAAATATAAAAGATTTTCAGCTCGAGAATTTTCTGGGACACTAGCTGAAAGGACACTGATATTTAGAATAGTTCTTTATTTCGACTAAGCTCACCCATTACTACCACATTCTTTGTTTGTAATGAATTAACCTGTCTTATAATTCTTTCAAATGCAGCCAATGTTTAAGTAGGCCACATGGATGGAAAACCAAAAATTGGACATGCTTGCTCCAAATTCAAGGAAATAGTCCGGTCCATGAGAAAGATATTTTGATGCTAAACAAGGTTTTAAATATCGGATGTCGGGTTCATGTCGGACGGCTGAAATCCATATCGGATAGCGGAAATCGGGGATATATCGGGGGACATGGACTAAATATCGGATTGTCATATCGGGTGGGCGTATATGCATAATATCATGTCCTAAATGTAATCTAAACATTCCTAAATTCAATATAAGCATATTTTATAAATTTTATAGACTAGACATATAAAAAAGTAAACAATATATGATGTTTAGGATTACTAACCGATTGTAGAAATTTGATTCTCGATTGCATCCTGAAACAATTTGGGTGCTTGACCTACAAAATAAGAAAACATTGTTAGTAAACATAGAATAACATGTAAAGAATAAAGCAAGTAACATATAAGATATAACATATAGAATGAAGATCATTACTCATAAGATTCATATCAAACATAAGCAAATCAAAACAAACAAACAAGTTTTTAAAGCTACAAATAGTTTAAAATTGTTTAACATTCAAGAGCAAATCCATAATAACATAAAAGATAAGATAACTAGATAGTCTAGAATCCATCTTCATCATCATCCTCAAAAGTAGCATTAGCATCCTCATCCGACTCCGTGAAGAACGCATCCATCTCTTCTTCTTCATCATCTTCCATCGGCTCTTTTCCTTTCGATGAAGATGATCCCGCTTTCTTCTTTCTTTTATACGTTTGCAACCTTCCACTCTTTCTCTTGGATTAGCTCTCGAAATATCTCCAACTTGCCTAAAAGTTAAACACTCTCCCGGAAATACTTCATCATCACTATTATTCCCCTCCTTACCCAACAACTATTCAGTGACTCTTTCCTCATCATCGTAGGCGGTTAAAGGATCTCTATTTGGGACGGCATGCTTATTCTTCAACTTTGCATTGAACTTGACAAAGACTAAATCATGAAGTTTTTTATGAGTTAGTCTATTCCTCTTCTTCGTATGAATCTACAAAAGAAAATCATGAATTAGCATAAAAAACTAGTCATCAAATACTACAATACAAGCATACAAGATGATTAAAATTTAAGAAATAATATTACCATCTCAAATGTACTCCAATTTCTTTCACAAGCCGAAGAGCTAGTTGTCAAGCCCAAAATCTTCATTGCCATCTTCCTTAACTCGGGAGTATCGTTTCCATAAAGCCTCCACCAAGTAAGTCTATGCATACACTTCACTATGGCATTCATGAAGCTTCCATCATTTTCAATGTCCGTGTAAGCCGGATAATAGTAAAAAGGATTCAAAAAGTAACCCGCTTTATGTAGCGTTTCACAAAGATTCTTCTTAAATCTCGGCTTAATCATTTCCAATATAGGATTGTACTTCTTCTCATCATCCCCAAGGGCCACTTTCAACTCCTTAGCAACCAACATGTCCCCATATATAAATCCCATCGAACTGATTTTATCACCATCCACTCTTCGAAGAACCTTCACTAGAGGAGTGAATACTTTGAGAGCAAAGTCTATATTATCCTAAAACTTGTTGCTAGCAATAATCTCCGCAACCTACAAACATACAAATAAATCCAATCAATAAAATATAAATGATCAAATTAATAAAACGAATGCAATTGAAATTTTAATTAAAAATATACCTTTTTACCCACTGATGTTCTTGAAAGGCTACAATCTGTCCATTTGTCAGAGATAAACATTTGTCTCATCTCTTTCTTATGATCTCTTAATGATTGTAGAGAAAGGAACGCCGTAGCAAATCTCGTAACTCCCGGTCTCACAAGATCACCCTTAGTGAACTTCCTAAATAATTGAAGAGGCTTGGTGTGATTATATATGAACATTGATACACTCCTCCCCATTAAAATGACATTACGAATGGGTTTTATCTTTGCTATATCGCACAACATCAAGTTCACCGTGTGTGCAACACAAGTCGTCCAAAATATATTTGGCCTCTTCTCAAGCAATAACTTAGAAGCCGTCATATTGTTTGAAGCTCCATCAGTGACTATTTGTATCACATTTGCCTCCCCTATCTGATCAATAGCCTTGTCTACAAAATCAAAGATATACTTAGCATCGTGCTTATCAGCCGATGCATCATGTGAAGATAAAAAACAAGCTCTCCCAGCAGAATGTACAACTATGTTCATGATGCTTCTAGACTTCCGATCACTCCATGCATCGGTCATTATCGAGCAACCATTGACAACACAAGTTGTTTTAAAGTTTTCAACAATTTCTTTTGTCTCTTCAACTTCCTTTTGCAAACTTGTCTCACTCAGTTCATACATGGATGGAGCTTGCAAATGACTTCCAAACAAGCCAATAGTTTGTAGCATTTGATGGAAAGAGGGAAGCGTGGCGGTATGAAATGGAATGCCGGCTTCATAGAACCATTTGGAGACGTATCGCAATACATCCTCCCTTTTCTTCTTCTTAAGTTTGTAGTCCATCGTTGGTTGTTTCCCATTTGCTATTATTTGGGCAATCTCCTCGGGAGAACGAGCGGCGAAGGAATCCATTGGTCCAATTACCTTGTGGGAGGATGACGAGCTTCTTTGACTACTTAATGCGATGGAGTTATCCTCCTCATCCTCCCCAATATGCACCTCACTCAACAAGTTATGCATCTTCATCTCCTTCTCATCCCTACTCTTCTTTGCATTATCTAAAATTTTAGAAACTTTTGCCTTAACATCATCGGGTACTTTCACACACGGCGCACAATTTCCCCTCTTTCCTGCTAGGTGTTGTTTGAATCGGCTAATCCCGCCATTGAGAATTTGAGTGTAATATTTGCATTTAACTTTACTTGTATCAGAACCAACTCTCTCCCCATATAGCCAACATGGATCTTTACCGTTCGGTTTTGATGTTGTTGACGGTCTAGTAGATCCTTGTCCTTCAGACGATATGATTCTATAAAATAAGACAAATACAGATTTAGACAACATATTTAAAATTTAATTACTAACTATTAATTAATTTTATTTGACAGGGGAAAAATTCAAGAAGGAGGCTTGCCTGATTTTGAGAAACAAGTCCTCTTACTCAGCAGTCACCACTCAAATATCATACACTGCTCATAATTCTCGGTCTTAAACCCAATTTGTTTTTGAGCATTCCTGTTTACAAATATCATACACTGCGTCTTAAAGACTTGAACCCAATTTGTTCCTTCCAATTTCGTTTTCTATAAACCCACATAAAACTTCATGTGCTAACAAAGGACACATAAAAAAGTCCCAGTACCCACTTAAACCCAATTCGTTTTCTATAAACCCACATAAAAAAAATCCCAGTATCGAATCCACCGATTCGCAAGAGAGGCGCTCAGACTCAGAGAGAGAGAGAGAGAAAGGGGGGAGAAAGAGAGAAAGGGGGGAGAGAGAGACATACCTCAGGAACAACGCTAACCTAAGCTATCAGCGAAGATGCGGTCGAAGATGCGGTCGGTCGAAGATGCGGTCGAACTCAAAGATGTTGTCGGTCGAAGATGCGGTCGAACTCGAAGATGCGATCGGTCGAAGATGTCGTCGAAGAGGCGCTGAAGATTTGAAGGCGGTCGACGCGGTCGAAGGCGGCTGACGATGCCTCAAGAGAGAGAGAGGGGAAGGCGGTCCTCCTGTAGCCCTAGTTTTCTTTCTCGTTGTTTTTCTTTAATGACTCAGTTTTCTTTCTCGTTTTCGGCTTCGTATAAGTCCCTGAAAAGGTTAGCAGCGGTCAAATGGGTTTGGGTTTTGTGAAAACCCAAACCCGATAAATCAAAAAATCCTGTAAACCGATATCAAGAGATGTCAGCCGATTTTTCAAAGGTGAAAAATCGGCCGACATGTCCGATTTATCCCCGATATCTCCGATTTGCTCTTGAAAAACGATATACGACTTGAATAAGCCCGACTCATACCGCTAGACCACCCGATCCGACATATCGGCCGACATGTCCGACATGTCGGTCGATATTTAAAACACTGAATTGCTAAGAATTAGAGCGAAAAGGGAGTCAAACAATA